TTCTCTTCGGTCTAGTTACTGTCAATAAAATTCTCGTGATAACCCTTTCCACTTAGTTTCTCCTCATTAGTTCAAGTTCATCCTTTAAAGCATCTTCCGAAGAGAGATGCCTTGCTCTCTCCAAGAGTGCTTACGAGTTTACGTTTTTGGTAAATTGGAACGGAGCTATGAAAACTTGTGTACTGATAACTCCATGTTACTTTTTGGCATATCTTCCTTTGAGTAGAGCTACCTAGGCGTCTAGTCAGATGAACATCCAAAAACGGGAGACAATCTTTCTCCTCTGGTTCGGTTGTGAACTCGATTCACCATTGTGCCTCGTGGAATCCGGACTCGCCGTCTTCAAGATTGGTGTTCTTGTTGACTGTACAAAAGATATCACCTCCATCATGGTGATATTTTTCAAAGTAACTAATAACCTATCGGGGCCTTATGTGGTTTGCCACTCAAGGTCCTGGGGCTTAGGTTACCGGTTTCCATCAATGAACATCAGATCTCTGCAACCCTAAGGTTTACCCCGTCTGCTGTTCATCATACTAGGGCGTGTAATTGAAAAAGCAACTAATAGATGTGAATAAAGTAGTTGTCTCTAACTTGACTATAAAGTTGTTGGCGAGATTAGGTTCAAGGGATGAACCCATAACACCACTATAGATTTTGGGGTAGAGTGCGGTGTTAAACAAAAATTGTACATTTCACGTGCATAAAAGTATATAAGTATGAATTCTTTGAGGTTTGTGACCAGGATGCCTACGGATGTCAATTCTATGTTGGTAAATTCCCAAATGTGATCAGCAGTGTGTAACAAGGAAACATTTGTGAAGAGAGACAGCATTTCTTTTAATTACACACACTTTGTACGATGAATAGCAGACGCAATGGATCAGTAGTCGCGGAGACCTGATGTGCAGTGGTGGAAACCGGTAACCCAGACCCCGGGATTTGGAGTGGTAGACCACACAGGCCCCGCTAGGTTAGATGTGGTATTGAACCGAACGACAACAAAGCTGTCTCCCTCCAAAGTTGGGTGGCGGTGGTGGGATTCAAATCTCGGACCATAGTTTCCAAATCACGCCGATGACAGCGATCAAACCACTGCACCAACACCAAGGTGAATTTCAATGGTTTATGAATGTTACCATTTTAGATTACTTCAACAAAATGAAACGTGTCCCTGAGCGTATGCTTGACAAGTCTTTGATGTATCAGTTCCAAAGGTCTGGCAGTTGCGTGGTGACGTGAGTTCGTCATTGAGATGGTGGGACTCATTTATATTTCTGGTTCGGGTATGTTTAGTAAACCATATAAGTGAGGTATGTTGGAGCCCACAGGTTAGACACTGTAATACAGAGGGTATTGAATGTTCTCTTAATTTCCTAAACCACTTTAGTGTATCAGTGGTTTGCTTTTCAGGATCCCTATTTGATGTTTTTGCAATGCGTCTCAAGTGGACTTTGTTCGGTTGGAGTGAAGTGACATTTAGGCTCGGTAATCAGCACGATTCGTAACTACAATATCAGTGCGTTTGTCCAGTTTGTTTACGAGGATCCGAGGATTACTTTGGAGATTTCGTAAGGCACTGATGTGTTTTTGCGTCAAAAAGGCTTTGACGACAAACTTGGTTGAGTCGGTATTTCTAGCACATCCTTTAAGCGTTCTTACTCTTTCGTAGATCTTGTTGTGAGACCACTCGTCTGTCTGTCCCAGTTTTTGAAGTATCTTTCTAAATCAATCTGATGTTCCGTGCAGTGGGGATAGCAGAAGCTGAACCCGAGTGATAGTGCCTCGATCAGAGCATGGCTTCATTCATTACTGGAAAAATATGCATGTGCCGTTCAGGATTGTTTGGGAAATGTCCTTATGGTGTACGAGGGTTTAGCGTGCGGTTCAATGATAGCAATCTGAAATACATATCTGACGTTTTACATTGAGTATACCCATAGACATTTTATTGTTTCGGGGTGCAACCTAATCAGGCACAACCTGTTGAATAAACACAATTTAACCCGATAATCCATCGAACGAGTGATGTGTTCGAGGAGTTTTTTCCCCAGTAAACGGAGTTTTGCTTTGCTTATTGGAATGAGTCCGAAGTCCGCCGAAGACATTGAATCTCTCAGGAGTTAGTAATCCTGATGGATCAAAAGCGAAAGGTCCCAATCTGCCAGGATCATCATAAGGACTGGTGGCGCCTGCAACGTCAACTCATGAATAGCCTTAAGAGCGATCGTGAAAATTGGTGAGCCAAAATAGCTAGTGGAATGGAGGTAGCTCCTGCATCAGGGAATAGTCGAAGACTGTTTCACCTGATACGCAGCACCGTAGGTGGTCGCATACCGGTCATTGAGACCACTTGCGATAAAAGTGAACAGAGTATCCACAATAAAGAACGACGACTCGATCGATGGGCCGAGTACTTTAGTGAACAGTTCAATTGTTCTAGTGCTAATGCGGTTCTTCCAGCAATTGCAGCGGAAACTCCATGGGTGGTAACACGTGAGCCCCCATCGTAATTAGAAGTACGAAGCTGT